ACAATCCCACTGGGAGAAGTATCTCCATCATGCCTAAACTTTAGGATTGGATCCAAATTGCCCAAAAGAGTGTAACTTCAATATAGAGAAATCATCAAACCTAAATAATTCGAAATAAACCTCTCTCAACCTCGAATTCATAGTCCCAATCTCAATTAAAGATTCAACCGATCTTTCTATATGGGTCTGCAAGAAATCAATTCGTCATCCCAAAAAAGACCTCTTTTAAATCTTACTAGTACTGTCATCATGGTAGTACCTATTCAATTTAATTTAGATCTAGGATAGCACACAAGCCACTTCAGAACTCTAAACACAGAAAATCTAATAGAAATTTAGACATAATTTCATTTTCCACTATACGATTGGTATCGGTGGATTTGGAAATGTGTGGAAGGTTGAATCCAAAAAAACAAGAATGATCTATGCAATGAAAGAACTCAAAAAAACAAAGTATTCTATCTACTCTATTGAGAATTTTAGCCAAAAAATCCGTAAAGTCTGTTATGAATGAAAAGTAACTGTTATAAAAATTGAAGAATCCTTTTATTATCAATATGGTAGGATCCTTTTAAGACAAAGATCATTTGTATCTAATCCTCGATTATCTATCAGGAGGCGATCTTCGATACCATTTATTGCTCAACAAAACATTTAGAGAAGAATAAATTAGTATTAAGGCATTAAATATATAGAATTTTTTGTGGCTTGCATGATTCTTGGATTAGAATACACAAACTCCTATTAAGTTATTCATAGAGATCTGAAACCTGAAAATTTAGTACTGGATTGTAAAGGATATTTGAAAATAACAGATTTTGGAATAGCTAGATATTATAAAAATGATAATAGTAATGAAACTAGTGGTACACCTGGATATATGGCACCTGAAATAATTCTAAAATAAAATTACAATTATTGTGTTGACTATTATGCAATAGGTGTAATTTGTTATGAAATGATAACTGGTAAAAGACCATATCTTGGTCGAACGAAAAAAGAAATACGTGATGAAATGTTAGGAAAATAAGCATAATTAAATGCGAAAGAGTATTTATAATATTCATTCAATCTTATTGAATTTACAAATAAATTGCTTTTGAGAAAATAACAAAATCGATTGGGCTTACTAGAATGGGATCAAGGAACTAAAGAATCACAAACTATTTTAGTCATTTCAATGGGATAAATTAGTGAATAAAACAATGATTGCTCCATATCAACCTAAATAAGAAGATAAGACTAGGGCTTGTTAAAAAACCAGTGATTCATAACAAACACTATTTAATGAATAACAAAAGCAACTGAAATTCAAAGAAATCCAAATGCTATTTGATGGATATACATATTTAACTGAAGACAAGATTATTTGACTATAAAAATCTATTATCAACATTATTCTATCTCTACTCTCAATTCTTACTGGATTTCAAAGAAGCATTACCCACATCTTAATAAACTCTAACCGCATCTTCATTATTTTTATTAATATTGATTTTGCCTCTACATAACAAATTAAAATCATCTCTCTCAAAATGCTATTCAATTTATTCTCGATTACCATCACCCCTAGGCCCAGTAATAAAATTATCAAATGCTAAGCAACATTTACTTGATTTCATTTCTTCTTTTACATTTATAGCATATTGATGTGCTTAAAATAGTTGATTCCTTCCATAATGATACAACAAGAATAACTAAATCCTCGACAATTCATAGATGACGTTAGTATAAACTAGTTTCTTTTTAGCTTTTTCTATCAAATCTTTACATATTTTAGAGTCTGCTTAATCTTTTGATTGTTTTACTTCAGAATAATCCTAAAAGTAGAACCCCAAAACCTTATCGATGAAATCAGAATCCAGTAATTGTTCATTGTAATAACGCAGAACATACTGTATAGTCATTAATATGCTCATTATTGATCCCACTTAAGCAAGTATTGCTCCTAGTTTAGGATACACTATTTATGTATCGTTAGATATGGGATCAAGTCTTATTAGCAAGCTTAGATATGCACTCTCTACTAATAATGTCGAAAAAAAATGTATATTTGTTGCACTTGTTATCAATTACGCATTGTAGATGTAGCTTTTTTATTCATAATTACCAAATAAAATGCCAGTATCTATAGTTGCTTATGTTTAAGTCAAAATCAATTAACCCTAATGAGATATTTGAGAGTCAAGGGTTAAATAATACTGTTTCTTCACCACCTAGAACTTTTATGAATGGGGATCGTACTACTTTAAATTCAACCAGAAACTGATATAATTTACAGATTATTCAAAGAAGTCTTAAATTTCAGAATCAGATGCACATTCATATTAGCTTTTTAATAGAGTGGAATTACATGCAGTAATTAGGATCATCAATTCGGTAGTCTAATTCAAGGTAGTATCATAACCACTATTTTGAATTAATGATAGGTTATCAACTCTTTAGAGACTAGTATTATAAGGTGAGATTGTAGGTTTTTCATCTAAAAGAGAAAAAGGCTTCTGTGGAATACCATTAATAAAATAGATTCCAATAGGTGTTAATATGTTACGCTACAACCTAAATGGGTCAATTTACCCATTAGTATACTTCCAATAACTGAATTCGAATAGGTCATCTTCATTATATAAAATTTAAGAGTAGTTCTCAACTTTCATTATACTAGTTGAATTTGGTAGGATTTTGGAACTCCACCATAGATTCATTATATATAGGAAGTATCCGAAACTGGCACCTAGTACAATTAATGAACATATTCCACTTAAGGCAGACTTCTAGACTTTTTCATCCAAAGAGATCTATTATCTATATTAGACACCAAATATATCTGTCATTTTAATGTATTTCATTTTGAAATTATATTATTTAAATAATGT